GGTGCCGAGCCGAACATGGTTTCATTTCGGTGTCAGACTCCTTCATGAGAGAAGTCCAAAATGACGACATGAACCGAGTGTCGTCATCGCTATCAAGATACTTCGGTATGTCGTGGCTGCAAATCCAGCCGGTCTGGAAGAGGCGCGCAAGTTCGGGAGCCCTGGCGTAGAACTTGCAAGGGAGAAATCGGGCGTATTTACTCAGTCGGTCAACGACCGTGAGGATGTCGTCGTGCCTGAGACGGTCGCGGGGAAACAGGCCGGTGACATCCATAGCAATGGAGAGGTCGGGTTCCCCCGGGATAGGGAACGGGCGCAACTCGCTGTAGGGATTGCGGTTGCGGAGTTTAATTCGTCGGCAAACTTCACAAGAGTCACAATATCGAGTGATATCGGTGATAACGTCGGGCCACCGGAGTCGTGCGATAGTCCAATTGACTCCGAAATGGCCGGCGACTCGCGAGTCGTCCTACTCACTGAGAAGGCGAGTCTGAAGACGGCGGTCTCGTGGGACGCAGAGTAAGTCCTTGCCTCGCGAGTAGAGAAGCAAGTACCCGTCGACGATGCGATAATTGCTGGTCGGCGGGTGATCCGAAGATAGTTGCGCATAAAGTGTAGTGAAATCTGGATCAGACTGGTCGCCCCGAATGAAATGTCGTTGGATTTCCTTGTCGAATGCGAAGGCATGATGTGTCATAGCGCAAAGATCGAGTCTTCGCGAGAGTAAATTTGTTGCGCAGTTGGAGAGGTCAGCGAGATGTTTCAGTGTGAAGTCAAATGAAATACATCCATCGTCCGATACTACTGCTCAACGTATCTTGTGTCTTGTAGTAGGTCAACGAGTTGTTATCCGTGACCCATGTGAACCTACGACGCCCAAGGAGGAGGTGCCGCCATCGCTTGAGAGCCATCACGAATGCGAGCAACTCCTTCTTCCTTGCATCATCAAGTGAATTGATGGGAGGCACCTTGTGGCTGAAGTACTCCATGGGATGCCAGTTGTGGCCATCATATTGTTCCAAGCCTGCCCCAATACCATAGTCCGAGGCGTCGGTTGTCACTCTCGTTGGCAAGGTGGGGTCGTAGATGCTAAGGACGGGTACCATGAGCATGGCCGTCTTGAGCGCTTGGAATGACTGACGCGCTTCGTCGTTGAATTATGGCACCTTTGGCGATTGTAATCTCGTCAATGGTGCGGCAATCCTTGAGTACCTGGTGATGAAGCGTTGGTAGTAGCCTGCCAACCCCATGAGTGAGCGAACGTCCGTGGTGTTGGTGGGCTCGAGCCGTATGCGGATGGCCTCAATCTTGTCTTGCAGTGGTAAAAGAGGCAATTCCTAATATGTCAATTAAGAAATCTGAAATAGTAAAAGCAGTAGTAGTTCGTACATGTAAAGGAATCAAAAGGCAAAGTGGTATAACAATTCGGTTTGATGATAATGCAGAGGTAATTATTAATCAAGCTGGAAATCCAAGAGGAACATGTGTTTTTGGACCTGTAGCTAGAGAATTAAAAGAAGGAAACTTTACAAAATTTGTTTCTTTAGCTCTAGAAGTTCTTTAAACTCTTTTTTATTCCAATTTATTATTTATTTTCTAATTTTGAATTTTAATTAATTAATAAGAAAATATGTTTTGGAAAACAAAAGTTAATATGATTCAAAGACTTAAAAAATTTTATCTTGATAATGTTGTACCTGACTTATATCAAAAGTGTAAATATACTAACGTTCATCAACTACCTTATTTTAAAAAAATCGTAATTAATTGTGGGTTTGGTGAAGCATCACGAAATAGTAAATTTTCAGAAGGAACAATAAAACATTTATCTATTATAGCTAGCCAAAAACCTATTCTAACGCGCGAGTGGGCGGATGTCTTGCGGCGTCATATAATGGACCAAGTATTCGAGCTCCTGCCTCGCAAATTCACATTTGTCAAGGTTGGCTTTGTACTTGGCTTATAGTAGCCGCTCGAAAACGGTGCGCAGATGCTCCACATCCTAGTCCAAACTCCGGTTGTACACCAAAATATCACCGAGGTAAATGAGTACAAGTCTGTCCAGCATGTGTCGGAACTCAGTCGTCATAACCGCTCGGAACGTGGTCGGGGCATTCGTAAGGCCAAAAGACATGACCAACCATTTGAAATGCCCATATCGCTTTTTGAACACGGTCTTGTAGCGGTCCTCCCGCCGGACCTCAAATTGGTGATATCCCGATTTGATGTCAAGGTAGGAGAAAAATGTTGCGTTGCCCAGCCGTTCGAGGAGGTCGTTGATTCGCAGAAGAGGGCCGACGATCTTGACGGTTTGCACGTTGAGCTTGCGATAATTGATGCACAACCGCAAGTCCTTGTTCTACTTCCGAACGAAGAGAACGGGAGCGTCGTATGGCGAAGAGATAGGCCGAATCCAGCCTTTCTCAAGAAGGTCGTTGAGTTGTGCCCGTAGCAGACTTAACTCTTCCTCTCTCATGCGGTAGATGCAACCACTCGGAGGTACGACCCCGGCCTCGAAGATGATCTCGTGGCGGATTCGCCAATCTGGTACCACTCCGTGCGGGGCTTCAAAAACGTCACCGTAGGTGACTAGAAGCTCGGTGATGCGTGGGTCCGTCGATGCGTCCGTCGATGGGATGTCATGGGGAGGGAGGGCGTGGAGAAAACACACCCATCTCCTCGATGTCATCCCGAGTGATGGAAGCTCGAACGCTCGTGGCGGACACCACGTGGCAGCTGATCGAAGGGTGAGGTGGAGGCACCGTGCACGGGACTAGTACTCCATTCCGATCATGAATGTGAACGGTCTGGCGGTAGAAGTTCACCGGGTGATCCTCGCTTTTCAACCACGACATGCCCAAAATCATTTCGAACTTGGTGTCCAGAATGTCAAAGGACACGTCCTCGCTTGCATGAGGGGCGAAGCACGTGGAAACAGAGTCAATGCACCGGTCGATTGACTTGTGTGTGTGACCGTCGGCTAACGTAACTTGCGTGGGCTGCGACTTCCTCCGAACAAGTGGCCCCAGGCCAGCGCGTACCAAAAAATATTGGCTCATATAGTTGCGAGTAACTCAGTAATCGATCAAAGCGCTGCAGGTCGCTTCTAAGATCTGAATGCGTATGTCCATCAATGGCGCGTCGTTGGTGTTGTACCGTTGTGTCTTGAACTCGCGGTCGATCTTCGCAACGTAGTCGTGAAGGTCAACAACCTCTACTCCGGCGTCCATCAACAGAGGTGGTACAAGTAATCCCGCAATTGTGTCGTGAGCACGTTGCAATGTGGTTTCGACAATCGACCGGTCGGGGGAAGGGGCATCCACTGGAAGTCTGCAAACGTCAACGGGTCGAGTTTCTCAAGTCTTGACTATGACGTCAAATCCCCGGCTAAAGTCGGCGGCGAAGCTGCCGAATCGATTGTCGATGGTGTTGAAAATGTGCATGCGGTGAAGTCTTGCACGTGGAGTAGCTCGTCCAACGGAGGGAACAAGTGGATAGTGTAATTCTAGTAAGTGAACCGAGGACTTGCGACATCCGCATTCTCCCCAAATGTGTAGGAGGCCACTAGCAAGGCGGCCGAATCTGGCGGAGTGAGAGGTGGAGTCGCCTCACCTCCCGCGCAACTCAATTTCCCAAATTGGTTTGAGGTCGAACATCCTCCTTGCCTTGATCTTCGAATTGGGAGGTCTTATGCTCGGTGCTGTTGCACCAATAGCAGCAGCCGTAGCGGCTGCGGTACTTGTGTTCGACCTTGGTGAAGCTGAACTTGACCCATAATACTGGCTGTCCATTTCGGGTTGGCGATGTTGTTTTTGCCTTCCCTTTTCCACGGGAGTGGTTGTTGCTTCCGGCTGGACGGAGGCCACCTGATCCACCTCACGTGATGTTGAGGTGGCTGTCGGGTCTTCCACAAGGTTGTCCGTTTGGGCTGCAGCGACCGGCTGCGGACGGGGACCAAATTTTCCTTTCTCCACATAGGTTGGCTGCCACGCTAATTTCTCGTGTGCAGAAGCCCAGTTGATCTTCATGATCTCACGAGCCGTGTCGACGATTTCGGGGAAGGTCGTGTATTGTTCGCGATCACCAAGTGCGAGGCTCAAGGCAGCACACGATCGGTTGTAGAACTCCCGACGCAGATGCGAAAATGGAAAATCGAGATCGGGTGTTCCCACGATCTTTTGTCATTCCGTGACGCAGACGCGTGTCGGTCTGTTGGGTTGAGTCATGGCGAAGAGGCGGTTGATGCTGAGTGTTGGGGCGTTGTTAACAATGAACCGCTTATTCCATTCCTTCGTCGGATCTTCCCAAGAGATTTTTTTGTGTAGGTTAGCGACCTGGACGTCGTGGATGGTTGCCATGTGGCTGAGCCAGATCTGGCATCCGCCCTTTCTATTGAGGAATAGTGCCGAGATGTACTAGTGCTCAGGGACCTGATGAATCCAAAGCTCCGTCATAAAGCCTTGCCACCAGGGGACCAGGTCCTGATGCGTATAGTCATCAAACTTTTTGATCCAGAACGTCGGCATCTTGTACTGCCGCGATGCACAGGGGGGCGGCTGGTTAGTTGTCGAACCTTCTTCAAGGTGCCAAGCTGCTCGCTGATGGAGGCTGGTGCGGCGAAGGTGCTGATGCTGCTGAGCATCACTAGTACATGGTCGAGTCGGTACTGCAACTGGCGGGTTGAGGCTGCATTGCTGGCTTCGCCAGCATCTGGTCTTGGTGCTGCTTGCTCCAAGTCCTGTACATGGGTATGAAGTGCCCGTGATGCATCCTCGTGCAAATCCTTGTGGTTCCGCACTGCCTGTCTTATCTTCGCCAGTTTCTGGTGTTGTTTCTCTAACCCAGACTGCAGGTGGTTACAAGTGTAAACCACCCGGGTCACGAGCTTGGAGAGAAACTCCTTGTGCTGCTCTTCCAGTGTTGCGTCGTCGTGGCCCTCAGATGGTTCAAAGTGCCAGAACTTGAGTCTGTCGACGCTGGTGGCTTCGTGTCAATGCAACAAATCTTGGGTCTGCTTGCGGCGGGGCTGGGCATTTGCGTCAGCAGTGGCCTTAAGCCGCTGCTTTTCTGCTGCTGCCTCCACTTCAGCCTGTAGGCGGGCAGCCTTCGCTGCCGCCTGACGTTGTTCCTCAACCTCGAGCTGTGCGAGCTGATATTGAATCCACTGTCGGAACTCGACAATGGACTCGCTGGCCAGTTGACCCAACATGCCCAAAATTGGGACCGTTATGGTGGCGAGCCACTGCTGACGTGGCACTCCTGATGGCGTGGCACACTGCTGTCGTGGCACTGCTGCTGACGTGGCACTGCCGACGTGGCACTGCTGACGTGGCACTGCAGACATGGCACTGCTGACGATGTGGCACTGCTGCCGCCGTCGCACTGCTAACGTGGTACTTACCAAACCAGGAACAGAGGCAAAGGGTTGGGTGGGAGGGAAACGTAGGAAGGTAACCAAAGTGCACTTTCCATTCCTGGTCCTAATCAATAAAACAAAATAAAAAATAAAAGAAGAGGATACCACCCTTTTTTTTTTCTTTTTTTTTTTTAATATATGTCGATCGACTATCAGTGAGGCGTTCTCGGAGGAGTACTATGAGCGAGATGTAGTCAAGGTTTCGCAAAGTTTCGCTTTTAAAAAAAAATGCGATCTTGAAAAGAAAAAATTTGCTCGAAATAGAATGGAGGTTTCGCTTTCAAAGAAGGATAGATCCAGTTTTCGAGAATATGACAATCTCCCTATTTTACCTAATATGCCCATATTGAACCAACCAAAAAAAACGACATTCTAATATTCTAAGGAAGTTTCGGAGATCTGTTGCGAAAAAAAAAAATTGCAGAGATTTGTCGAAGCCCTACTTGATTAACTAATAAACAATCAATCAATCAATCAATCAATCAAGCAAGCAAGCAAGCAAGCAAGCAAGCAAGCAAGCAAGCTGGCTCCTTGATTGGGTGGATCCTCTGATTGAGGGGTCCGCTCCGATACCAAACTGTTGCATACCGTTGTCGGGTCGTACCCTGTTAGACTTTCGAGCCTGGGTCGATCCGCTGCGGGTCCCAATTGGCTCTGCTCTGCCCGATCTCATGCTCAGGGCGCGGAGCGTTCGTCACATGGGCACCCCCACCTAGTGTTTGCGATGGATAAGGATGGGCCATTTTGTGAGAGAGCTTCGACATTGGGGATGTAGCTCTGCCCTCTCGCCCGATGGTAGACTCGCCAATCTTTTCGTCAAGTGCAGTTTTCTTTATGCTTCGAGGTGTTGTCATGTAATCGCTCCTTCCAGTACACAAACAGTCCAGGGAGTTTATTGAGAGTTTCTCTTCTTTTACGCGTAGGCCAAGTGTCATCCTTGGGCCACGCATCCATTTCGTACGCGGAGAGTCCCTGTAGCCTCGTCGAGGCCGCGACTACCTTCCGGCTCGGGCCCGCGGAGCATGTCTCGCGGTCCGCCAACGCCTCCCTAGGGTTTCGCCGGCTTCCCTCCTCGGCCAACCTATACGCGACTTTTGTTAGCGCATACATCATGCATGTCCTTTCTTTGTCCAACTCTCGCATTTTCCTATACACCCCTTAGTCTTTTCGGGGCCCCATCCCTCATACATGCCCGAATGTTTCATTTTTAGTCTAGGCGACCTCCTCGACCGCCTTATGTCTGTGCCATTTGCTATTCGCTGACTTTGCTTTACACAAACATGCTCAAGCAATTATTCAAGGGGCAAGGGCTAAGTCCGCAACCCGTTTGTCCTTATCCCCCACTCTCTCTTTGTCGGCACTCCCGGGACCCTCTCCCGCTCACTGTCTCTTTAAGCTACTTACCTGCACATTCAACACAATTTATGCAAGGCATCCCCCACATGGGGTCAACACATAATCCCTCCCACAAGCCTAAGTTCGTTTTCCTTAGCCCTTTGTGCTTCTCTTTTCCTTTTCTCAATCCAGGTCAGAGAGAGAGAGAGGGAGAGAGATCCTACTCCTAGTCAATTTGCCACCTACTTGTCCTACCGTCCTACCCAAGGTCTCCTTTCTACACCTTGCTTCTTTGTGCCCCGTAGGTCATGGCCTTGGGTTGGTGGACGAGGTGACGCGGGAAGGGGGAGTGCGGCAGTCGGATATGGAGGACGGTTGAGGAAGACGGAGGAGGGAGATGGTGCGAGGTGGTTGGGTACGGGGGATGGGTGAAGGAGATGGAGGTGGGAGATGGTGTGAGGTGGATGGCTATGGTGGATGGGTGAAGAAGACGGAGGAGGGAGATGTTGTGAGGTGGATGGCTATGGTGGATGACTATGGTGGATGGGTGAAGAAGATGGAGGAGGAAGATGGTGTGAGGTGGATGGCTATGGTGGATGGGTGAAGAAGATGGAGGAGGAAGATGGTGT